ACTGAACTTTTTGTTAAAAATTAGGAAATAGAGGCTTTATTTAAAATCTGGTTTCAGATATGAGACAATTTTAGAACAGCCAGAGAAGGATGGAAATTGGAAACAACTAAGGGGGTGGGGAGGCATAATAAATTTTGTACAAAATTTGTTCTCATATAGTTGTAGTTTAGTACTGATACATAACCCTGTTGAAAGCATAAGGGAAAAAACAGGTATTTCTGACCCAGAGTATGTCTGACTGCAGGAAGATACAGCTAATAAAAGTTGAGGGATTCTCCCTTTGGGCATGTAGAACAGGTTCCCTCCAAATGTTGTCACAGAGATTAATTTAGTGGTAAGAATTAAACCTGTCCTGTACTGGCCTCTGTCACTGGGAGCCTTTTGGACACCAAATAGATGCCTCATCTCACTCATCTCCAGAACAAAAGAAAGCCCAGACCTAAACAAAAAAAAAGCCTACTAGAAGTTATTCTCTCACTTATCTTTGCATATGTATGCCAAACAACATATGTCTGTTCTAAGTTTTCTTTTTAATTACAAGTTGGTTGTTCCTACATTATGAAGAGTTCTAAGAACCTTGCCTCCTTCCTCTCTAAAAAAGCTCCTTTTGTTTCCTTCATATTCTCATCTTGTAACAAGTTTCCCATGGCTGCCATAATTTCTGTGAGCTGCCTTTATCTTTATTTCAGTTGTAGGCTGGCTTGAACCACAAGCTGCATTTCCCAAAGAATTTTAAGATTATTTTCAGTTGTAACTTCTTATTTATTTTGGGGCATTTGGAAGTGTCCTGCCTAGAAGAATTTCACTTTTTCAGTCAGCCTTGGTTCTTACAGGAATTAATTGTACATGTCATTGTCACTATATCTCCTATGTTAATAATTGCAGAGTAGAAAAGTGGCATGTGAAGGTCAGAAGTCTCAGTAATGGTGAATCAGTACCAAATGCAAATTTGTGTATATATATGTGTATATATATAGATATACAAATATATATATATATATATATATATATATATATTTGTATGTATATATATGTATAGAACTATTTTGTATGAACAAAATTGCATTTACATCAGAACATTACATCCTATATCATCCTATATCATTAAGGTCTTGTTTGCCTTTAAAAATACCGTAGTAAATAATGAAAAAAAATTTAATTAGTTTTGAATATATTAGTTAATAAAGGTGATTATTAAAGGGAACCTGTTAAATTATCTAAATATCTCTGTACTCTTTTGTGTGAATGTGTATAAACATGCAGATATGTATGTATTAATATGTGTGTTTGCATGTATATAATTAGTACAAATATTGATGTAATTAGACTACATGCATATGTTAATATTAAATTTAAAAGAAGTTAGAAACCAGTACACTGGATGATTTTAAACAGTGATTGATATAAATGAAGAAGTCTTTGTGTGTGTGTGCATGTGTGAAGCAGGAAGGGCTTTTTCCATTTTTGCATGGTTCAAAATGAGTTTGAATATAAATACTTGATGACTAGGAAGCCTGTTAGTATGTGCCATGCTGCTGATGTAACACCAAAGCAAAACATGGGGAGAGTTGTGGAATTCCCATTTATTTTTCTATATTGAGAGCATTTTGTGACTGCTCTGATGCCTTGGACGACCTTGTGGTTGTGTTAATGCTGTAAGTCTCAGGGAAGCAGAGGCAGAGAATTGCTGTGCCCAACAGCGTCACCGTGCAAGCAGTGTGTCCTGTCAGCACCTGCCTGCCTGCTCCTCTGCACCTCAAGGCAGATGAAAGTCAACTTTGTATTAATCAATTAGGTTCTGCATTTTCACCAGCTTATTATTAGGAAAAGATTTGTGAATTCTCCTGTTCTGGCAGGGCGAGGTCTCCTGGGAAGCTCAACACCTCAAAGCAGAGCAAACAGTGCTAGTCTGTTACAGACATGTTTGTGATCTGTGAGCTTCTGCATTTATTTGCATCAAGTTATGATTTATGTTGTGAATAACCCCGCTGACATCAAGGTAACTCTTTGCAGGGGAAGGTAGACATTTTAATGTGAGCATGGTTGGCAGAGTCTGGCCTGTGGTACTTCGATGCCTGCAACAAAATGCTCCTGTCATCAGAGGAGCTGACATGGTGTCACAAACAATTACAGCTTGAGACAAGCTGCTGTCCTGACTGGGACGTGGGTGATTGTTTCTGGAACTGATAGAAAGTTCTCCAGTTGTATGAAATAAAGATACTCAGGTACTGCAGAAAGATGCTCAGATTTGAACTGACATTTGTTGAGTCTGAGTCTGTGCCCTCTTCTTTCACTTCTTGCTGAGAGCAGAGGACATTGCGCCATGAAGTGCTGTCCAAAACTCAAATGAGCAGTGAACAGGTGGCACATTTTCAGGCTATTTTAGATCATGGAAACCATTTGTCCAGTTTTAGATTGCTATTGCTAGCAGTGTGTCTTTCAGTTGTGAGAAAGAGAAGAGGTTATTTAAGACTTACACGACTCCTGTTTGCCTTTCAGAGCATGCCAAGTGGGATTTCAGAAGGAATGCTTGCAGATCACAGGCAGCTTCCCCTGAATCTCTTTGATGCAATTCTCATTTATTTTCAATGTGAAATATTGGAAAGAGCTCACACAGTAGTTCAGTTCAGTGAAACATGCACAGATTCGTTTTGGAGTCCGTGTTTGGGGCTCAAGCACAGTGAGCAAAGAGGGATGAGGAGGCAATTCTGATTTCTTTGATGTACTTCATTTATATCATCTCTCCACAGCCTGCTTCAATGCAGTTTGTCCAAGACTCCAGGGGTGTGGAGCTGATGTGTGTTAAAGCTGGTCGCTCTTTCAGAATCTCTGGACTCAGAGATACCAAAATACAGCAAAATAAATTTGCCAGAGGAAGGGTGGTCCACAGGGAAACAATCCCATGGTAATGGCCAGTGGTAACACTGAATTACCAAGACACCTTTTAAACTTTCTGGAGTATGCTGAATGATGTGATTTTTAGCTTCTTCTAATGAAGTGCTGTATCTGAGTTTCCAAAGTGGCTGGAGGACATAAGTGCTCAGTGACTGCAGAGAGGAATAGGCAGGAACGATCTGCTGCTGTGCAGGGACAGCCATACAGTACAGGAGCATTTGGACAACCTCAAGAGAAAGGTATTTGCTCTGTAATGTAAGGAAAAGCTTTGTCCCACAAGCTTTGAGCTTTCTCTGTGCCCTGTTCACCTGCTGCCATGTGTTGGGCTGTGCAGGACTGGGCACACCATTTCTATGTGGGCTCTGGCACTGGTGTGGCCACAGTCCTTTCAGCTCTGATTTGAGGCTGTGCCTGCAAGGAGAATGAAACAGAGAGGTCAGCTGAGCTGTAATGTCCACTTCACACATTCCTGCATTTGCTCTAGAGCTGGAAAGCAAGGGCTTTTCTTGGTGAATTCCTATTTTAAGATTTCAGAATGTCTTCATCCTATGTTGAGGTGCAAACAGGTGGTGTCATTTCTTCCATGGCATTTATTTTGTTGTTAATTAAGTTCATTAACATATTTATCTACCCTCTTCACTTGGGAGTCTCTTAGTTGTACTGAACAGAAAACAAATTCTCTTTTCAATTGCTGCTCTCTTTCTAAAGTTCTTGTGGTTTGCCAATAATCTAGTCTATATCAAGTAAGATTTCATGACAAACGGCATCCAACCTGCAAAAGCATTCACTGATTTTCTTTACTATCTTTCAACTTCTTAAACTTTCTTGAACTCCTAACTGCTTTCAGAACCCAGCTTTAGGGTGGTGATTGTTACACAGGCTTTTCAAGGTGGGAAAAAGGAGTGAAGATTATGGAATGGTATCTTTTCAGGAATAAATACGTACCCATTTTGTTACCCATTCTGTCACATGAGGATTTTTAAAGCCATTGCCTTATTGCCTCATAATATGTAATGCTGCATTTGTAGATTTATAGAGATTCTTCTCTCCCCCCTTTCACCCCCTTACCTACCTTTCACTTCAATTCTTTTGCATATTTTTCACATACCCTTTCACTTAGGTTTTTTCAGTAGATAGCTATTTCAGCATGGAATTTGCAAATACCAGCCATAACTGATTTTCTCTCTTTCATGTTCTCTGGCCATCAGTTTACTCTGCTCACAACTAGTGGTTGCATAGACATAGCTATATCATCTGTACTTGGGGTGATGCTTAAGAAAGCCTTCTATTCCTCTCCTTTCAAAATAAATAACTTAAACTTGAAGCTGTGATTTTACAACTTTGGAATGCAGGAGATTGCAATAATGACTGAATACCTGTTGGGCAGAAATATTCAAATTACAGAAGTTGAATTAATTCAGTTTGATGGATGATAACCCTTCTGACAATAATCAGTCAGTAACTCAGTCCCCAGTAGAAATGTCTGTGTTTGAATACATCTGAAGCACTGTTGTAACACTGTTGGAGGGAGCTGTTACTGAGCATTTATTTTTTGCCCAAAGTCTCTCTGTAGATAAAAGAGATGAAGAAGAGAATGGGTAGAGACACCTGAATTTAAATAGTTGTCTTTTAAAACATAAGTGTGTTTTAGGACATTCTGCTCAAACTTTGGGAGTGGTGCCTTTGTTTAATTATTGCTGAAGTAACAAACACAATTGAAACATACTTGCAGGGAAAATGTGAATATTTTTTGTACAATAGGACATTATGTCTGTCTTGTAATTTTTCCTCTTTAATGTGTTTCAGTAAGGCATTTGGGAGCTTGGAATGGGAATTTCATGCATTTTTTGTATGCGTTGGCTTGGATTTTTTTTTTCCTTCATCTGCAAGTCTTGTTTTAGTAGGTGGAAGTAACTTTATTTTGAAGGAAACATCAGCAAACTTAACAAGAATAATGTATTTGTTAGAGCTGCATTTATTGCCAATCATGAGATTGTATTATTGTGACAAGCTTTCAGCTAGAGATTTTATTCCTGTTTTTTAATGCAGAGATGGATAGATGGATTTGAAAAACATTAACAAGAGCTTTTCTTTTTTCTGATTAGATCCTTCAGATGATGAAGCTGTTGAAAAAGCTGGTGAGAACAGGACAGCACCATGTCAAGATTCAGATTCCAAACCTGCTGTGAAAAAGAAAAGAAAGCAGGTTTGTAAATTGAGCAGTCATTTAGCACAACGATGATTGCACATAGGGAAACATAATCTCCTTTTTTTCAGTAAAGGGACAGTTTTCTTCACTCTCTCTGATCTGCTCATGTATCAATTTATTTTTTATTTTTAAAATTTTTTTTGGTTATGTTGCCTTATTTGGAAGTGATCACATGCTAGCACATTTCAGCAATAACTTCCCACTGGTTTTGTGTGAGTTGAGGTTGCCAGACCTGTCCTATGAAGTGATTGTCCTGTGGTACAAGCTTGGATGGTGCTACTGAGCATCTTTTCATGCAATTTTTTCCCTTTCCCTGCAAACACAAAGTCTGGAAAGCTGTATTTACTTGTACAGATTTTTTACCCAAGCATGTCCCCAGTTCAAAAAGCCCAAGCAAAAAAGAATTGAGGTTTTCATGAGTTGATGTTTTCTTACCCTTGCACTGCTAAAACCTTCATTTAATGCCAAGAGGACCTGTATTATTCAGCATGACATGGAGTATGCCAAGGAACAGGCAGCATCACCCCAGTTTGAGGGAAAAAGTCATCTAGAGGTTGGCTGATTTTAAGGAGTTTGTTGCTTGAAGGTAAATTTGTTCTGCCTTCCTCATACCACCCAGGAGAATCGACTGAGTGGCTGTCAGAGAGCTAAAATTACATTAGAAGCTATCTCTCCTTGAGGTTATGGATATTAATTTTGACCCTTAGGTCAACATTAAATTCACTCTGTAATGCCTAGGCAATTGCCCAAGTGAAAGCCATTTGCAGGGATGTTCTTTTTTTGTAACAGAGAAGTGTAAACAACATGGTAGCAATTACTATGCTTTTGGATGTCTTTCCAAAGAGACCAAAGGTGAAGTGATCCAAATATCTGAATGAGGTCAATGTTTTGATTAGGAAAGAGAACCAAGCAATACAGGAGAAAGCTGTATTGCCTTTGTACATGCTCTAGCAGGGGGTCAGATGCTGAGGAGTGAGAATTCTTATGGAGCCACTTTTTATCACTGTTTTCACTTAGGCATTTAGAAGCAGGTTAAGACACTTTGTTTGGAAGGGTTGCTTGACCCTTTTTATGAGAACATTGGAAAGGATAGCCTACACAAGTTACTTGCCAAGGTAGCCTGGGACTGCTCAGCTGTAGCAGAACACATGCTTCTAGTCTTTCTGTCATATAGAGAATATCAGCCTGCATGATGGAATCAGGTAATTTGATGTTTAGGTGTGAAACTGCAAGAGGGAAATACTTTATGGGAGCTCAAAGTCGTGGATGGGTTATTGCTCCTCTTTTAGACATACAAAATCAGAGTTATTTATGGGAAGCTGGTGGTTTTGTAGTTCTGGTACAAATAAAAGAACCCATTTTACTCATGCCTGCTTTATTCAGAGGCTGGAAGCTGTTCTGCAATGGACTTGGCACCTTAAAGCCTGTCACGGGACAGCCAAACAGAATTATGAGCATCCATGTTCCTAGTCTGCAGGCTGTCCTCAGGCTTACAGTGCAGTGAATGATCTGTCTCCAATCTGAGTGACGCAGTGATGTGTTTATTTTGTCACAAACTCCAAAAGTCAGTGTGTGGCTGACCTGGAATGTAAACTTTCACACACATGCAAGACTGTTTTCACTCTACATTTGAATTTCCCGTAACTTTGGCAACATGTAAAGAAAAAAAGCATGTTAGAAATATAATACAGGAAATATTTTATGTTCTGTGTATGATTAACAAACAAGGAATTTATGACATTTTTAGTTCATAAATCACTGGTCTCGGCACAAATTTCCTGTTTTCTGCATTTTAAGAATTTCCATGTAAAAATAGCATAAAAACACAGAGCACAGGGGAGCCGTGTCAAAAAACACTGGTTGTCTGCTTTATGTCTTGCATAAGAAAAGCATGCAAATGACCTTTTCTTAAGGATGGCATGCAAAGAGCTATTGCATGTGTAGGTAGGCAACTAATGCTTGGATAAGGGTCAGAAGTTCAGCACAGATCAGATGCTGAAATATTTTAGACTGTGGATCATCAAGGACGTGTAAGTTTACAGCCATCCACCACCATGAAATTTCTCTTTTTATGTCATTATTTTTAATGTCTGAATAAAGTGGATTTACTGTTGCTGGGCTAATAATATACTATGCTTAAATATGTATATGCAGTGTACAGGAGGCAATTTTGAGTTTTAACATGCTTCTCTAAGGAAGCAAGGCTTTGACTGTAAGCCTGCTGTGTGCTTGTGTTGCCTGCTGTGTGATTCTGTGGCTGTTGAAAGAAAGGGTTACATACTGCCTTCAAAAAAGAAGCCATTTGGTGGTAGTTTCAAACATTTGAATGAGGGCTTAGCAGTGAGAAGCTCTTTCTTTCAGAGAAATTTTTTCAGCTGTGTGGCACATTTCATTCTTCTCTCATACACCAGTTGGGAGTGTTTGCAGAGTTATGTAAAGCAGTTCACGATGTATAAGAAGGGAGAAATGGGCCCAAAGTGAACAAGTGACATTTTTCAGTGTGCTGGAAGAGTGGCAGCACCACTGAGATGGGGTGAGATTCAGTTTAGCTCTTTTCTGACTTTTTGATTGCTTGTAGGTAGCCCTTGACTGAAGCAATCCAAAGGCTTGGTCTCTGCATAAAATATGATGTTGAACGTAAAATTTATTATTAAAACACCTGGCAAATGGTCTTTAAGTATCTGTGGACAGCTGGGATGTGTAAGAGTAGAGCAGAGGGGTAGCTGTGTTTCAGTCTCAATGTCTGGGAATGCTAATGGTTGGGATAGAGATGAAGAAATGTATGGTGGTGTTTTAAAAACACTTGAATCAGAGTCAGGACAGAGATTTTTAAAATAGCAATGAACCACAAATAAAGCCAAAAAACTTATACTAACTCTGTAACAATTTTGTTAATTTGAGTTTCCACTTCCCTTCATTTCTAGTGAAGATAATATCTCTTTTTACCTGATAAAATCACAGGGACAGATCTCTGTTGTTGAGGCAAGATACAATCCCTATCACAACTTCTCTTGGGTTTTGATGCAGGCTGTGTTACATTCCAGCTGTACCTGTAGAGTGCTTTGCTCCTCAGGCAAATCTTCTCTAGTAATTCCTACGTTTTGTTTCAATCCTCAACCAATTTCAGGGCCATAATATACATTACTACTGCCTTTGCAAGGGCAGTGGTTGTGGCTACGTCACAGCACAGAAAGCAAGAGGTCATTCATTTGTGTTGAGCACAGTGGTTACCTGTTTTAATAGCTAATTTAGAAAGGGGAGCGGGGAGGAAAAGAGAAATGTAGGCGTTAATATGAACAATTAAACCTCAAAAAAATGCTTCTGATAAGGCTGTGAGAGTGGGCTTGGAAAGGCAGGAGAGTGCTGGGTTGGGTCATTTAGCACCAGTTGCCATGAAGTGTCCTCCTGTTAAAGTGCAGGGAGGGCTCAGAAAGGCCCAGATGCTCTGAACTTCTGTTTGCTTTCCTTTGGCCCTCTTGGCCTGACTGAAGCTGCCTTCCCAAGGGAACAAAGGAACAACTTCTCTGGCTTTCAGCTAGGCTCTCTTTCCTGCTGATACTGTTCTTTCAGGCTTTCCCCAGGGAGGAGTGCTGGATTTGTTGTTCCTGAGCTTTTTAGTGCTCCATGTGATGAGTCTTCTCCACATTTTCTCACAAGAGCAGAGTTTTCCAGCCAAATGCATCATAGTAGTGTGGTGCTTTTTCCTGCAGCTCAGCCTGTTTTCCCATTGCTCTTCATCAAGTCACTTACTAACTTCCAAAGCCTGCCTATGTAGATAAATGTGCATTTCCATTAGGTAGAAGGTCCTTAAGAAAAAAAAGAGAATTGCTACACTCAAAACAAGAGGAGTCTGTGCCTCACTTCCTCTGTTTTGGACAATTTTAGGTGGCTGAGGACAAATCCTAGCCCTGGATTATGTGAACAGGGACTCTGGTACAAATGGACCAATTCAGCCTGTTCACTCAGGCACAAAAGAGGGTTAATGATAGCAGCATGTGTTGGATTATTCTGAAATGCACCATGTATTTTTCTTGTGTGTATTTGACGCTGCCTGGTATGTTGAGACAAAGCAAGAATGGGGTAGGACAATTTTGAAACATGTTTTCCTAAATTTTGCATTATAAGTGTAGAAAGAACTCCAGAGCATGATTGTTTACAATTAATCCTGTCCAGTTCCATGTTATTTTTTATCATCTGGATGCTCACCTAGACCTAGTTATTTTAGAATAATACTGGCAAAGTTTAGAAAAACTATCATTCGCAATAGTAGAGATTAAAAATATAAAATTTAGTGGTAGATTTTGTTTATATTTTCCTCCTGATTTTTTTTTAAAGTATCAAAACCTGCTTTTCACCATTTTATAGAATTATGACTACACCCTGAATGTTTCCATTTTCTCTTCTTTTATTCCCTCTCTTGGTTGAAACAACAGTCTCTACCAATTCCATAATTACTTTATATACATATAACTGTAAGGATTTGATTCCTTCTACAGGTCGGGAAGTTCAGTTTTAATTGTTTTTTCCTAGCCCAGCATTATAGTTTCTGTGTCTCCTCTTACCTCCTTTGCCTTCCTCTGGTGACTTTTTTTCCTTTTTTTTTTCTCTTTTAATGTGTTTTTCAGCCTACAGAGTGCTTTTTAAGTCAGCCTGAAGAAAAGCAAGAGAGCACTGTAAAGGCAAAGAGGAGGAAGAAGGTATGAGTGTCCTTGAGTGTGTTTGGGGTCTGGGCAGTGGGTTTATGTGCTACTGCAGGATGCAGAATGGGGACAACTCCATGATGATGGGAGGTAATATGGTCGTAATATTGCAGCCTTTTGTAGAGAGGAAGAGAAATTCCTGATTTTTAAACCTTGCTTGAGATACCTATTCCCAATCTGACCTGTGGCATTATGTCTGTATTCCACTCAAGGGTTGTGTGTGTCTACACCCCACTTGCAAGTGTTGCCCACCAGGAAAGGCTGACTGTGTGGAAGAAAGGTGGAACTTCAGTTGCTGCAGAATCTGACCCATCCCCACAGTGTGGTCAGGCTCCAGCTGCTGTTACTTCTTTTGAGCCAAGGACTGTCCTTGTTCACTCTTCTCCTCATAGCATAAGTATATAAATAAATACTCTGTATTGTCCCTCTGGCCGTGCTCCATCCTCACCCACAACAACAAACACACCCTGCAGTCCAAATGGAGATTATATGGCACCAGGCAAGTTAATTGTCTTTCTGTAGGGGGACAGACTGTAAATAGTTGGCTCCCTCACAAGGCTGAGGGGTGGCCTTTTTATGCTATGTTAGCCCTCTTAATCATCCAGGGAATGGGAAGCGGGAAGAGTGGGATTTTGCTTTTAATTCTTTCAGCTGTGCTCTGGCAGAGTAAGTACAGTCCTTACTCCCCTGGAGCCAGAGTGAAGGCATGCCATGGCAGAGGCTGGCACACACACCTAGCAAGAAACCCCATTCTCAGGCAAACTGCACCTTTGCTTTCAGTGGGCCACGAAGCTGACATACACAGCCCATCAAAAAATCCCATTAGGAAACATTTGATCTGTGGCTTCCAAACAAACTCTTGTTTACAAAAGTAAGGAGAAAGGAGGAAAGCCATTTGTTTTTAAGCATCTGGAACGAATTGGAAGAAAAATAAAACTTCCTGCATGAGGAACATTTCCCCACAGCTCTCCTTGAAGGAAGAGAGTTTGCTCAGGTGTCCTTACTCTTGCTCCTAAAGAATTTCTCATTGTATCAGGGTTCTCTCCTCCAGAGGGCAATAATTTTTCTGAAGGAACCAAGTGGCGCAATGAATGATGTAATGGCCCTGTGGAACAGCATCTTACACTGATTTACCAAGTAAAATGAGCCTGATAGTTCTGTCTTGCTGTCTGCTAAATCAGAGGTTCCCAAATGTGGGTCATTTCAGAGGCAGCTTATGAGGCAGGGCTGGGGAAAAGCATTTGGGGTTGTTGGGAAGAAGAATGGAGAGGTTTGGTTACGGGCCTCACACAGAGGCTGTCTGTGCTGCTCACAGCCTCTGGTCCTGCTTTGGGAAGACACTTGTTCCATGGCAGGAAAACACAGCAGTGGTAAGCAAAGGGGAATCTTGGGAAGGAATGCTACAGATTCAAGCACTGCAGAAACCTGGAACAGCCAGATGTTCTCTGCAAAGTCTTCCAGGGACTCTAGAGAGCTTTGGGCCAGGCCAAAGCTGGACTGAAAGGAAGGCAAAAACACATCTCCCACTGTCAAAGCTTCAGCTGGGGTCTTGCAAGCCCACAGGTGGCTTTTAGCAGGGATGAGACAGGCAGTGCCAAAGTGGCAGTGGCTGGGAGAGGCAGCACTTGCCTTGCCTTTGCTGTTTTGGTAGCCCCTAGGTGGGTCTTCCCTGTTCAGCATTCTGCCCCCCATGCTGCTCTTATTGAGGTATTTGGGCTGTATTGGGCAAGAGGGAGAGACAGTGTGGTGGGGGTATGGAAGAGAGGAGGGGGTGGTTGCTGGAATGGAGTGAGGGAAAGAATGGGTGGAAGTATGTCCTTGACATTAAAATACCTGCCATACCTCTCTTCAAAATTTCCATTGATCTTTGCTCACCTGAACCTCAGCCTACCAAACTTAGCCTACCCACCATCCCTCCAAAGCTGCCAAAAATTCTTCTAGACCCACCTCATCTCTGTGAAATCCCACTTAGCCTCAAGAATACAGTCTCTTTTGCTCCATCCTAACCACACCCTTCTGCTCCTTTTCACTTCTAGACTTAAGCTACCATGTGTCCCCTTGATGATAAATTCAGTTTAGCTTACACAGTTGAGAAACCTTAAGCTGTCCTTTCAAAAACTAAACACATCTCAGTGAGAACTAGAGAGGCATTGCATTCTTGTCATTCTCTCCAGACTGCCTCTATCCTTGCAAATTTGCTGTTTTTTTAAATACTTAAAATCTGCTTTTCTTAAATGCTGGCAGATCAGTTAATGGGAACCTTGGGCTAATCTACCCACAAGTTCCATTTAATTATGGCAAAAAATACAGCAATCCTTACAATTCAGTGAGAATTCAGACCTGTTACTTGGTAACATTCCTGACGTGTAAAACACAATCATTGTGAACTCATGTTCAGTCTATAAAAATTAGTATTTTTTAAAAAAAATAAAAAAAAATAAATAGAAGTATAGGAGAAAAAAGCAGCTGTGAATTCTTGCTGCTTGACCTGTGACTTTGTTGTTTTAACTTATTTTCATCACCCTGGCTTGGTATTCTGTGAATATAGTTAGCCATCTTCCCTCCCAAATATAGATAGATAGCTACCCTGTTTAAATCAAAATACAACCACATCATATATTATCACTCGATTCCTGTTGTTATGCCTAAAGAATAATAAACTAAAACAAATTATGAAAAAAGCCTCTATTTCAAAATTGATACTAAAGGGTAGCAGTGGCAAAACTCAAAAAGCATCTTTCAGTTATTTTTTGTTGTTACAGCAGCATTTCAGGTGAGTGCACAAGATTTTTCACGTTCAGGCTCACAGACCATCTTGTCCAAGTATCTCAGCTTGCATCTGAATTCTGCATTTCCTCTAAAGACAAAGGGAATCTTGTCCCATTGTAAGGTATTTTTCCAATTAAGCCGTAATTAAAGTGAAATAAATGTATAAAGATACAGAAGAACATTTATTTACAGTGTTGTTAGCTAGCCAAAGAGCTATATAGAAATACCATATTAACCCATTTTACTTGGATTTTTTAGAAGAAGATTTCTGATGTTCTGCAAAAATCTGCTCCAAAACCTGGTGTCCCTGCAGATCTACAAAATCTGCTTGCTCAGCATTTTGGTGAAAACCGTTCCGTGATTGAAATCGAGGAATTACAGCTGTCAGGTAGCTTGTCCTGTATTTAATAGAAAAATAATGTTCTTTTCATGATACTATTGACTTCTTTTCCTGCAGAAGAAAGAAGCTATTTGGGACATGTCTTGAGTTGTACATTTTAATGAAAACATTTTCTAATATTTCTTTTTCACTGTATATTAATTTCCTGTTTAAGTTGAAACATTTGTTTCTTTGGAATAATGAAACATTGTTAAAATGTCTCTTTTTATTGTAAGGTATTAATTTCTGGAGCTCACTTTTCTGATAGAAATTTTATGATTCCTAATAGTAGCTCTCAGGATGCTATGAAAGATGCATTTTGTTCCTGGGATTATTCGAGTCAATCCAGATGCATAATAAGGGGCTGACAGAAATAGACAAAGAAATAATGAGGCATCATTCTCATATGGGTATGAAATTTTGAGTGCAGTAGTTTTTCAGGGAATGGCATGAATTGAGGTGATAATTTTTGTAGTTGTGTGAGGTGACCAAGTTTTAGCCATAAGGATTCTCTTTGTTCCCTGTATCCTGCCTCCAGTTAAAAGCCAGATAGAAAAGGCAGAAAGCAGGACAGAGCAGGTTTAGCTTCTGTCACTTGGAGGGTGCATTGGAGATGATGGCAGCATTGAACTTCTCTGCCTCTCCTGTGCAGACAGAGACACTGTCCATTATTTGTTGGTAGGGTTCATGAATAGCAGCAGCCTGGTGACCAACCTGCACTCACCTTTGGGACTCCTTGAACTGTCAGTGACCTGTGTCCAGTGTAGAAGCTTTCTAGCCCAGCAGTGCTTTTTCTTTTTTCATGCATAATTCTGTCTCTCTAGGTAAATGTGCCCTTCCTTAATCCCCACGATTCTAGGTGGACCCTTCTTTATTTCTGTGGGGCAGTCTCAGCTTTGTTACTGGATCAAGAAAACTTGGAGAAGTCCCCTATAGATTTCTTTGAAAAGCTTGTGTTAAGTAATTTTTGATATATAAGGTTTTTAGGAAATAGTAAATAGCTTTGGTTTCTTTCTTATTCAAAGAGCCCTTTGGGCTACTGAAGTGACCCATTTCCATATGTGTTGGATGAAGATATTTTTTTCCTTAATTTTTTTGCTGGCAGTGGAAGGCTTAGAGTGCCAAGGAGTTTATGAACTTGTACAGCTGTCAAGTCATTCACGTCAAAGCACTGAGTAACTAACAAGCAGCTACTTTGGAGTTGTGTGTTCCTGTTCACTGACAAAGTGCAGAAGGTCAGGGCTGGTCAGAAAGTCAGCATGGCCTCTTGCTGCAGTCTGTAGCTGTGTGTTTCTCCCCCCATTTCTGAAACTTCTATTAAAACTGTTGTAAATACTGCAGTGTTGCTGGACTGTTGGTGAAGAGTCAGTGACTGAAGCTGTGTCCTTCAGATGGACCTCTTGAACTGCCAGTCATTAATGAGACCATGTATTCAGAAGATCAGCCCCACCAGCGTCAAGTGCATCTTTTAAACATGATTTTTAAAGTACATCAGCTGCTGATCCTTCAGTTGTACTTACTCATTTCCTTCGAAGCTCAGGTTCCACTAAATGTCAGTCTCAGGATTTAACAGGAACCAGTGCAAAATAGAAGCTTTTAGCAAGACAGGACTTCAGCCAGGCATTGGCTGCAAACCAAGTTTGCCACACTGTCTGTTCCAATGAAGATTTTGGATTGATGCTCTCAGCATTAGCAAAGTGCACCATCCATGTGAACACGAATAATGTCTTTGGAGAAACCTCCTTAGTTTAGAAAATGTGTCAGCAAACATCCATAGACACCCCGAGAGGCCGTGCTTCATGCAAAATGATGACAAATATGTGAGTGTTTAAAGACAGAATTGTTAATGCTCTGCAGAAGCATGTTGTTATGTCAGGCAAAGAGCCCTTGACAACAGTGGCAAGTTTTCAGAGCATGGAATTTAAATCACCTTTTTAAGAACTTTGATTTTCTGTATAGACATGAGAAAGGACCCTCCAAAGAACCTGTTAGGGATCCTCATTGCCATTATATGAAGTCAAATGGCTTATCTGCCACAAAGAGCTTTTAAAAGTCTTCCTGGTTATCATAGTGACCAGGGAAAAGGAGGTCAGCAGGAAATGGAGGAAGAGGAAGGTGCTGAAGTGCAGGGAGGTGATGCTGTTAGGGTTGATATAGTTAGGTAGATTACCACAATATGAAAGGCCAGAAAGTGAACAAACTTACTGACAAGTAAAATATTGGTAGATTCTTCCATTTACATGGTATGAATTATTTGGGGGATGTCCAGACATATTTTATCATAGATACATTGAAGTAACAGCCAAGGAGTGTAAGGCTTTTGGCTGAGGCTTTGATTCATTGTGGCAAAGAGATATGAAAACTTTCTTTAAAGCATGTGATCACACCTGGAACTCAGCCCTGTATTCGAGATTTCAGGCTGGGAGGAAAAAAAAAATTGCAATTCAGATATGTTACCTTCATTGATTTAATCCATATAAAGTTTCTTCTGCATTAATTTTTGTTTCAGAAATGGTAACTAACTGATGATGGATTTATGAAGTTGGGATTTCATCAATATAACTAGTAGTTATGCTGCAAACATATATTCTCCCTTTGCTAATAAAATACATCAACAAAAATATTTTCTCCTTTATATTTTCAGATTCCTGTTTTTTGCCAGCCAATGATCTTACCCACAGTTTTTCTTCATACCTGAAGGAAAGTGAGTTTAAATGTTGGTCTGGGTGAGATAAAAGTTGTATGAAAAATATTGTTAGGGCAATATTATTGCATTCTTACATGTAGCTCCAAATATTGCTTATTATGAAATATTAATCACTTTAAAGCTTTTAATTTTTATTTTTTTATCACAGGGTTTCTTTTTCTGGCTCTTTTTTACTCTGACACTTTTTTTTTATCAGAAAGGTTCTGAGCCTTCTTTTAATTGCTAGGGATTATTTATCAGCAATTTATTGTGGCTTCATGAGTAGGTGTATGTATTATCTTACAATAAAAGTCTTGCAGCTGTCTGCTGACACAAACCAAGAGAATTTTTATTCTCTTGTATATTTATATAGAACTTCTGGTCTGATAAATGTTTCTTTGCAGTTGATTTTCTCTGATACAAATTGCCATATGTGGCAAATGAAGACAATAGACTCATCACCTTAAAAACTGTTGGTTATTAACTTATCTATTTTTTTCAGTTATGTGATATTTCTGTATTTTATTTATTTTGGGCATTCCATTTTCCAGTTTCTCAGCCATGACTAAATGCAAAAGTGTTGCCAAAGTCCCAGACCTCAAAGGAGTCAGCATGTGTGTTCTTGCTGCTGGCTACCATTCATCATGTACTCTAGTAATTTAAAATTGTGGCATGTAGTACTTTGTGTGGCTACAAGAGCTTTTCCATTGCAGTCTGTCCTAAGTGGGCCAAGCTCCGGAGAAGCCACAAGGAGAAGAAGTCAGTGGTGATGCTGGTTCTCTGCAGTTCTGCCCTTCGCTGCTTGGAACTCATCAAGTATGTCAATAGCAAATGCTGTGTTGGGGTTGGCAGTCGGTCAGGAGTTTTGTCTTGGAACCACAGGCAAAAAGGCAAAACTGGGACACTGTCCTCTGCTAGCCAGCAAATTCACTGACTCAAACTGATGCAATAACCCTTCCTTCTTTAAACTCTGGGAGCGTGGTGTTCGGTTTTGGACTGAAGTAATGCTCAGTACTTCAGTTGCGGGAATTGTTACTTTTGTTAAAAGCCAAAAGTAAAGTGTAACCAATTTAGGGGAAACATGGAACACGTTATACTTGGGCACGGAGTAAGCCCATAAAGCATCATGATCCACCGCTAGGAAGTCATGGCTTTGCACCAAAGGCAGCGAGGACATGGTGTTTCAGGGCCTCAGATGCCAAGGTGTGTCTGGCCTCCAGGTCTGTGTCACTGTTCTCAGCTGGCTCAGGCTGGCAAAACTGCTGGGCAGAGATGTCAGTTCTCAGTGTGCCCTGTCCCCATTCTTCCCCTTCTCTATCCTCCCCCTTCTCATGCCAGAAGTTTTGATGAATTGATGGAAACCTCACAAATTTCATGGTTGTTTTCTGTGTCTTGCCCCTACTTCCTGTGGTTATCTGTCAGCACAAAAGGAGATGGAGATTTGGGAAGTTTGATTCCATGACACAGATATAAGCACAGATAAGGCAGATAGGTGCCAGTTGTGCATGTAGAGACTGGCACCTGAGACTTAGGTGGTTTAGATGTAGATAAACCTTTAGCTTTGCAAATTAAAAATTTGTTGTTCTGCAAGAAGCATGCAGAGCAAGCTGTCTTAAATGGCATTCAACAAATACTGAATATGTTGTCTCCTGTTTGATGAATACAGAACATAGAGTTGTTACTGTGTGCCAAAATGGAGCGTTAGAAAAACAAGTCAAGGTTTCTAACAAATTATTTTGGTTAACTGGAATTTGAACAATTTCTGCAGTAAAGACAGAGGAAGCCTATATTTTCCCAGCTGCAGGAAGACAGTAAAATGTAGATTGGTCCATACACAGATCTTCCCTTTTGTGCACACACACTCATGTTCATTAATGCCTCTGAGTAAATGAATTATTTATTAATTAGGATTTGGTGATTAGCCAGTTTTGCTAGCAGTGAAACCACAGGCCATAATATTAAATATTATCTGAAAAGCTATCTAAACAATATTGCCCCCTACTGATATCTTCCATTTCATCTGTCCAGTTGTTGATCTCTGTTGATGAGTAGCAAACAAGAATTTACATAGTGTTCAGAGTACAACCAGGGTTCACTGGGGGACTCTGTGTGTCTCAAACATATTGAGAAATGCCAGTTAATTCTTCTTTCCTCATGTGTGGTCTTAAGTCCAGCCCTGCTTCTTGCATTTCATTGTTCATTTTTTTTTATTGCTAGGTCAATGACAGCCTTTAAAGGAGATTGCAGAGTCCTCAAGTTGTTTGCAAAGCACATAAAGGTAGGGAATTTTAGTAGAGCAAGTAAACAGCTAAATAGTGTGATACCATTTTCTTTTAAAATCCTTTGGCAGCAAAGGATACAAAGGATACTTTCATACAGTGTTCATATGAAACTCCCTCCTTTAGGTAGTGTTTCCTTTGGTAACCCATTGCTGCAGTGTGAGGAATTTCACTAACACCATCTCCAGTAGCTCTGTGCAGAATGGAGATGATTGTGCAAGTGCTGAGTTTTACTGTCCCATGCTCCTATCAAGTGTTCATTCACACACACAGGTCTGTGGAGGCAAACTGTACCAGCACCCACATTTAGATTCTGAAAATTGAATCCCCAGTATCCATACCCATTAAAAAGCACAAATTATGGGGATGTTTGGAATAATGAGTGGACACTTGACCTTTGATTTAAATGCTTTCAGGCATACAAATGTCTTTTTCTTTATTTCACCTTCTTCCAGTATCTTCATCTTGAAGGACTTCAGAGTTAATTCAAGTTTTTCAGTATTCCAGAGAATTTGTTTAAAAGCTGAAGGAATCTTGCTGTCCTCACCTCCAAAAATAGTTGGTGCAACAGCAGATTTTTGAAGTTAAAAAAGATTGAACTTCTAGAGAAGTGTGATGCCCAGCTGTCTTGTTATATTTTTTGAACTTTCTTCCAGATATAATCATCTGACAGTTTGAAAGACAAATATAATTTGTTATTTGATGGTGTTCTAGAAAGAAATACGATAAGATCTTGAATTTATTTCCAACTCTTGAAGAAGAAATTTAAAAACCATTATGGGTTTACTGTGATTTTTCTTTCTCTCTTCAAATTAGATACAGGAACAAATGAATATGTTGGAGAAAGGCATTTTCCACATTGGGGTTGGAACTCCAGGGAGAGTGAAGGCACTAGTGGAGCAAGGTAGGAGAGCAAGGAGGGTTTCCTCCTTAGGTATTCTATATTTGGTCCCATGAGAAGTGAAACTTCAGCTGGTTTTTTTAGGCTGACATGAACATGTAGATTTGGCTGACATAGTTCAAGTGAAGAAACAGAGCCACACTAAACTCAGTGGTTCTGTTTCTTCACTTGTGCTATGTCAGTCAAAACAAAGTCAAGGTTCTAATACTTTGTTTTATGATGACTTTAAGCTGGCATAAGCCAGTATTAGCAGAGAAAGGCAGAGTAATGTTTCAGCTGCCAGTCAGTGCTTATTCCCCCTTCCTGCTCCCTGTGCAAGCCCAAGAGTCTGTTTGGCAGCTCAGTGAAATGACCCCAATTAAACCAAAACCAGTGTGCACACAAAATCAGGTAATGAGCAGGCAGAGCTGGGGGATTTCCTCTTTTGGCAAGAATAGTGATTTATGCTGACTTGAAAGTGATTGCAAAACCATAGTGTGAGATTTAAAGCTCCAGGAAACCAAACAAGTGCAAGTGGATCAAAAGGAAATAGTGGCAGAAGTCACTGTATTATATGTCATTCTGAACTCAGTGTAAACTTTTGTGAGGGGTAGATGGAAGATCTACTTGCTGATTTGATGTTATTTCTCATTTGCTTTTAATAAAATTAATTATTCTATATAAATCTCCTTTTCTCTTCCCACATTTGAAGTATTTTTAGTTACTCAGTAAACAGTATGTTCACAAAGAAAAAGAAACAACAAAATGACAAGATGATAAGGCAATTCTTTCCATTCCCCTTATGAAAGACACTGCCTTGCTCTGACTCTGGTCTCTTGGTCAGGGACTGGCAGTGGTTTGGGACTCTACTGCTCCTTCCAAAAGAGTACAGGAGCAATATCATTTTGTTGCTTCCACCAGCACTGAATGTTAGTGCTCAGCACATCAGCACATTGCCATGAGAGTGGTGAGGCACTGGAGCAGGTTACCCAGAGAAGCTGTGGCTGCCCCATCCTTGGAAGTGCTAAATTTTATCCTGAGCTTTAGCTCTTTTTTGACAGTTTAGTGTTGAAATGCCAGGTCACTTAGAGAAGGGAGAAGACTCAAAAATGATTGGAAAAAAATGGTGAGAGTCATGTAGAAGACCAGGGAAAAAATAGGAGAACGGCTGAAAAGCAAGTTCAGAAAGGACCTTTTTTTCCACAACCTTTTATTTGAAGGATAAAGGAATTTTTCAGCAGCACCACTGACCTGACTCATATTCACATAGCACCCTGTCCTGTAAATTGCTGAACATTGTCTGTTCCTGATAACATCCATTTTCAGGTTAGGGTCCTTGTAACTTACCAGTGACATCAGCTGTGGAAATTCAACTCCTGTGGTTTCATCAAGAGGAAGTTTGAGGAATTACTTTCTGTCAGGATGTTAAGCTCTTGACAAGTCTGGCAACAGTAGTTGCTCTACTTTTGTGTTTATCTTCCAAAAAGGCATGGGATTATGTGGCTAAGGGAGTTTGCAGTGTCAGTGCAATCGATTTCCAACCAGCAAATGTAGTACTTAAGTGTTCAAAGATTAGTTTCCTTGGAAACAGACAGCAAAAGATGTAAAAGCCAAAAATCATTTCCATAAACACATGTCATATTATCTTGGTAGTGAAATTTATGTTGCCTTTTTAGATGCCCTGTGCTTGAATTCCACTAAATACATGATTCTGGATTGGAACTGGAGAGATCAGAAGCTAAGGAGAATGATGGACATCCCTGAGGTATTGTATGAGCACCTGTATATGTTATATTCTGTGTATTCATTACTTTTGTTGGTAGTTCTCAGGTCCTGGTCAGTAAAGTTTTCTTTCTGTAAAGCTGTCTTCAGTGGTTAAGGAACACAAAGAAGTTCACATTCACTGAGAAGTCTGTACTCTTTATCTCCTGAAAAAGAATTTTTCTTTTATTGTTGCAAGTCACAGCTGTGACTTCTATGGTTGTGCTGTGAGTTTCCCCTTTTATGCTCGATGGATGTTCCACCTGTGCCCATGAAGTTCCTTCAGCAGGAGGACTTGGTACAGAGTCCTAGACCTCAGCAAATTGGAGAGATGGGCATCACCAACTGTGTGAAATTTAAAAAAGGTTGGATCCTGGTGCTGGATGCACCTTGGATGGGGCAGTCCTGGATGTATGGACAGACTGGGGAATGAGATGCTGGAAAGCAGTGCCATGGAAAGAGACCTGGGGGTCCCTGGTCAATGGAAAGTTGAATCTGAGCCAGCAGTGCCCTGGAGCCAGGAGAGCCAACCCTGTCCTGGGGGCATCAGGCACAGCATCACAGCCGGGCAGGGGAGGGGATTGTCCTGCTCTGCTCTGAGCTGGGGCAGCCTCACCTCCAGTGCTGGGGGCAGCTTTGGGTGCCACAATGTAAGAAGGATACAAATCTGTCAGAGAGCTTCCAGGAGAGGGTGATGAAGGTGGTGAAGGGCCTTGAAGAGAAGCTGTGTGAGGAGCAGCTGAGGTCATTTGGTCTGTTCAGCCTGGAGAAGAGTGAGGACAGACCTCATTGCAGTCTGGAACTTCCTTGTGGAGGTGAGAGGAGGCACAGGTACTGATCTCTTCTCTGTGCTGACCTGTGTCAGGACCCGAGGGAATGGCCTGAAGTTGTGTCAGGGGAGGTTTAGGTTGGATATCATGAAAAGGATCTTCCCCCAGAGGGTGGTTGAGCCTTGGAACAGGCTCCCCAGGGAAGTGGTCACAGCACCAAGCCTGAGAGACTTTAAGGAGTGTTTGGACAGCGCTCTCAGGCACAGGGTGTGATTTTTGGGGTGTCCTGTGCAGGGCCAGCATTTGGACTTGATCCTTGTGGCTCCCTTCCAACTCAGCATATTCTGTGAATCAGTGAAAAGTTTCCTTGAAAACTAAACAAAATTAAATAAATCTGTTTCTCCACCTGAGAGCAAGATGGCATCATATGAGTAAATCTACAGACAGTTCTGTTGGGTTTGGTTTTTTTTGGTAAGGTACAGAAAACTTAAAGCCATCCATCATTTGTATACTTCTTCCAAGATAATTCCCAATAATTCTTTCCAGCTCTGTAATCCAGCTTTTCTATTTCCTGCTATAACAAGCTATGTTTACAGTATGTTGTGGGGCATCACCTATGTGTAGCCAGATGAAGAGGCAATTTCATTCATCAGTGCTTGTTAGAAAGCTCCCAATTTCCTGCAGAGTCTTCAGGTTTTGTACATTTAGAGCAGGCCCATACAAGGAGGGAGTCTCCAGGGAAAAGGATTTCTTTCATGTTCACAAGTGAAACAAATTATCAGTCATTAATCCATCTATGTACTTGTCTAAGTATTTGAATGTGCTGTATTTTACAGCCCCACAAACACAAAACAACAATAAAAAATACGTTGAGGAAATGAAATAGCAAAGAAAACCTGCCTTTGCATTTTTGGAGGCCAGGAGGCTCCCCCTTGTGGTTAATACATAAGGCTTTTTTTGTATGGTGCTGGCACTTACTGGTAACTTTTTTAAAGAACAGAAAACATGAAGTGACAGACAATTCAGTACAAAATCACAGGCAGTGCAGAAGGTGTTGATAGCAGTGGGATGGATTTTTGAAGTCATCTGAAGTCAATAGCCATAAAGTAGACCATAGGTGATCCACCTCCAAAAAATGAAAATTGTGTTGCCAGTATTTCATTTTAGGCCATTGCAAACCTCAGCAATAGCTTTCAGCTCACTATAGGCAGCATCATAGCAGTTCTGTGTGTCTGTCAAGAAATGTAGGCAAAAGTTGTGACTCCAAGTCCTTTTATTAAGGTGAAATCCTAAGGCTATCTTAGCATAAAAAGTTAAAGCTTTGTTCAAGTTAAATCCAGGTAGGTAAGAACATTACACCATCATAAATTGTGTTAGGGTAAGCAATAGTTACTTATGTGTGGATACAGAATAGTGAATATGTGATTACATTAAAGTCTTCAAACTGCTCTTGGCTCAGGTAACACATCATAAAGGAAGGTTTTTGACATCTGGAGCTTTATAAGTGTAGTATCTTGCAGATAGGTGTTTATCCCACTGCAGACATCAGGCAGATTCCTTAAAGTTATTTATGAGGAATGTCAACAGCAAAAGGCACCCAACTAATGTTTTGGTGATAAGGCATCTTAACACCACATATAAACCAATGGCGTGTTCTAGCAACTTGTGGGCTTCAAATTTGGAATACAGTCTTAGTCAGCTTTTCTAATTATATAGGAAAATGCCAAATACATGCTATGAATAGTCATAGGTTTTCTCAGAGAAAGTAAGTACAGTACCAAAGACAATTCAGAAAACTGGCTGTTTGATGTACTCATTTCTTTCACCTGTGTTAGTTATGGAGGCAAAATTGTACACTTAAAATTAGAAACTCAGCAAACTGGCCTATTTTCAGTGCAAACCTCAATTATCAATAATTTCTTTGCATACTCAGGTGCAAGGTTGCTAAATTTCATTGCATTTACACCAGAAAGCAAGAATAGCTGGAAGCACATGTCCTTTGTACTTGCTGTTTTTGTAGCCACCCAATGTTCAGTGGAGAATAATGTACACAGTGTTATATTCTGATGAATATATGAATTTAAAAACACATGGATCTTCCCACCTGGCAGTTCTGTATCCCATCATACCCACACAATGGATGCTGCCCTGGTCCAGTGCTCTGTCAGCTGCCTCAGCATCTCATTAGTTAATGCTGCTGGATTTTTTCATTCTCTGTTTCTGTGTCCTACTTCATTCATCCCAAACATTGGAGAGAGAAGGAGATAAAAAGAAACCTCCCAAAGAAACCACTGGAGGAGTGAGTGGTTTATCAGACTTTGTCTTGGCATACTGTCTAACTAAAAATGGATTGTATACTTTTTGATCTGACCAAAGGACAAACTTCCTGCTTTGAAAGCTTTTTGTACAGCTGTTGATGGCAATACAGAGCTGTGTCAATTCCTGAAATTACTTGTTCCTAAGATTCAAGTGAAGTTTTTTCAACAAAACCCAATATTGTATTGTCTGCAAACAATACATACACTAAGCCTTCAGTAAATTTGAAAATTGGGAAAGTTTAAGTTTCAGATTTTATGAAAATGAAAAGGTTTGTGAGAAATGGACCTGTGATAGAAAGACAACTGTTTTCACCTTCGTGTAGCACATCCAGTCTGAAATTGAGGCTAGCCGGGCTTTTGTACATCATTTATTTCTCTGCAAAGTGGAGGCACTGAAGGATATAATCCTGTGAGAAAACATGCAAACAAGTTATTTCTGAGTGGTAAGAGGGAGCTATAAGGAAACTCTGGACTAACCATGATGATAAAGAATCTCTTGTTCTCTCTGAAATATGTAGTCAATATTTACTCTGCAATACACTTGTTTTATCTCTAGATAAGCCATAAGCTACAGCCATATCAGCATCATAAACCAAAGTACTTTGTAGGCAGCATAGAGCTGACCTTCATGCTCACTTTAATTCAGGTATCCCAGACACTGACAGGGCTGTGCCAGGTGCACTGCCCTTGATCTGCTTTATGCCATTTGTTACTCTGCAAAGTCCTGCAGGGATTCTCTAGCCCAGGATGGGCCTTTTGCTGTGGTGTGCTTTATCTGCTCTGCCAGTGACAACCTTTCTGTCTCTGTGTGAAATGGGACTTCATGGCTGCAGGGCAAATGATGGGTGTTCTAAAAAATAGAAATGTTCTAGAGGACCTTGTATAGGAATCTCTAATTTCTAGTCCTGTAGTAAGGTGCCTGAATAAATAAATAATGGTATCATTATCAGTAACTTTTTATGCTTTCTCTGGTTTTTATTTTCCTCAGATAAAGAAAGAAACAATTGACCTGCTGGAGAAGAGTATTATAAAGCTGTGCAGAGATGGATCTGTGAAGCTGGGACTCTTTTAATGACTTTACCAACAAGGAAGTAATTTGCAGCTGCATTTTACTATAATCCTGCCTGCAACTGAACTTTGACTTTTCAGAGTTCTTAATATAGAAGGCACATTGCAACTTTTTCTGAGTTTTCTTTTAATAAAAACCTAAATTTTGCTTGTAGTTCTAGAATTATTTTTATTGCAGGAAAAATGTCATTTTGAAATCGGAGTTACACTGCTTCCACCTGCTAGATTTACTACTATATGTCCCTAGTAAAACTTTGAAGATGGGCAATCATGAGTGTGAAAGTCTTTGTACAGCTGCAACTCAGTTTTCTGTTCCCTCCCTGTGCTGTCCCAAATGAGACATGTATTTCTCTCATGAGAGTGGTGATCTAGGTCTTGTCCTTGGGAGTCTTTAAAAAAGTTGTATGAGTTTCAGTAACATGTTAAAAAGGTATTTTTCACCTGTCTGTTCTAGAGCTGGACAAATGCTGCTTTTTGCTTTTACATGATAAATTATCTGTATATTATGCTGAGATTTTATTTTGGTTAAACTGTTGAAGTGTGCAAAAAAGTATTCTTATGTTTGTCCATTTAAATTAAAATGAAGTGATGTCTGGGTGATTCTTTTGTCATTGTGGATAGTAGGGAATGGATGGATTCTTTTTCAGAGAACAAGATGAATAGAGATGAGGAAATCATCAGTATCTTGGAAAGCCATTGATTAAAATTGGATATTTTAAAAATTAGTTGTCCCTCTAAGATAAAGAACACATAACCTTTTTGCAACCTTTAATTGCATCTCAGTCAGTAGCAATGAATGTACTAGGTTAAGAAAATTGGTTTGGTCTTCCAAAGCCATGTTCTCTGTCCAGTGCTGTCTCAGCACCTGCAGTCCTCCCCAGTGGAATCCAGTGCAACCAGAACTCCTTTCACTATGCCATGCCTGTTAGCTGGGCAGCTATGGGAGTGAAGGGAGAAGAAACATTGCATCTGAAATTACACACAAATCCAAATTTAGCTGACAGTATCCCTGCAAATGAGTAAGACATAACGAATGCTAATGAGCTGTGGGGCAGGAAAAATATATTTAAGGTTTTCCAGGATGAATGAACTGGACACCCTGATCAAAGTACACAATCACTTGATTGGTACAAGCTGATCATGGGGATCCAGGCACAAATACAGAAAACAAGGAAGAGAGATCTAGTTAATAAGTAATTCCTCACCATAATGCAAGTTTGAGCAAACAATACAGTCTCCCAACAATAAAGACAGTATCTCAGCTGAAATACTCTCCAGCACAAGGATATTATTCCTTTTCTCACCAAGAAGAAAATGAAAAACAAGACAAGTTTTCTTCCCAAAGAAGGAGAAGCCCAGCCTTCCAGGTGTCCAGATAACAGTGCATTCAAACAGCAGAGGCTGCCAGCTTGGAAGCCCCAGCTCACCATTGCATCTGTGCTCTCCTGTTTCTTTCTGACAGGGGCATTCTGCATCACTGTGGGAGTCTGCCTCGTCCTGTCTGCAAACAGCGTCAGAGAAATACAGGTTGGTTTGGGAGTGGTGTGCTTTGCTATTCTGTAAAGAAGAAACCAGGCCAGGTTTGGAGGGAAAAGGCTTTGAGTTTTTGCTTCTGAATAAGATGATAGCAATGGCTTCATGCCTTGGACATGTGTCCAGCAGCTGGTATTCCTGTGAAAATCTTCAGAGGCAGTTTGTCATCAATAAAATCAGAGCACTGGGTGATTAACTCGGTGGTAATATCTAAAATACAGGTGATAATTACTGCCACTGGCTGCTAATACCAAAATGTTGTCATTATTTTCTGGGATTTTGAAGGGAAATAAGCAAATCCCTCGGAGAGTGTTTAACACTATAAGAACATGCATGTTTGCTGGGGCAAAACCTTGAAATACAGGGAGCCCTAATGTTTAAATCCCTCCTGCAAAAAAGGTTATTCAGACCTGTGGTGTTGTGAATAGACTCCTGTTTGGAGCCAACACTCAGCAGGACACCCAGGCTGTTCAGTGGGGCTGGGTTATGATGCATGTGGAGATTTGTCAGGAATTACTTGGTCAGCCAGCCCAAGGTGCAGGAGTGTTTTTCACTCAGCACTCCTTTGCTTAGGAGCTGGTGTGAAAGCTCTGCAACAGTCATCTAAAGGCTCTAAGCCAGCCTTAAACTAGGCATAAATTTTGTGGTTCATTGTGGCCAAGTCCTCACTCTGCCTCTTCATTTTCAACAATGTTTTTGGCAGTCCAGAATCACTTAAAAGAGAATGGCTCTGAGAAGCCTTGGACTTAAAACACTAACCTTTTCCTATGAGCATGTCCTTTATTACAATATGTTTGCTTGTTCACTTCTCTGACAGATAGATTATTCAGATAAATGCTCAGATTGTTCAAAGCTCCGTGAAAATTCCTCTAACTGGAATAAGGAATGCCAATGTTCTGTTAATTTCACACTAAAGGAAGCTATATTGGTAAGTGGGTGCAAAAAACCAACTCAAGTTGCTGTTACTTATGTCCCTAAATGATAAAAGACACTAACTCTGTTCTGTAGAGATCCTGACTAAATTTGCTTTGTACTTTTTCAGAACATGTAATGCTCAAAATTTTACACTTTTGCCTTTGTTGTTCAGTTTGGTATTTATAACCAAGACCAAGCTCCTTGGCTGGGAGATGTGCAAGGAGAAGAAGGGGGTAGAGGAAATGGTGTTTGATTGTGGAGGTGACCTCTCTCTGTATCTCTCTGAGTCAGTGGCAAAGCCTTGCCTTTGGCCTGGGGTTGGTTGTTGTTGCTCTGCTAAGATCTCATGTGAGAAGGAAACCTGAAGCTCTGACCACTTTACATAAGTAGACCCCTGTAGTCATTTTTACAAGGGTTGTGCTGCTGATTCCCAAGGTCCTTGAAATAATTCAAGTCTAGCAATGTGATTCTGAAGTTTCTTTTGGAAAAAGTATCCTTAGTTTCCTGCATTAAACTACCAGGTTGTGTTGTTGAGACTGTTAAAGTGCTTCATGTTCTGCCAAAGAGATCTTATACTTAGTACTGAATAAATGATCCCTTTAAATTACAGTGCAATTTAAAGTCACTTTAGGATTCTTCAGTATTGAGGAGGCTGTTAAAATACTTTGTAATTTTTCAGATTACAGTGATGTTTGAGTTGAGAAGTTAATTTAACTGAGTAATGGGTTTTTTATAGTTGGGTTTTTATATAATTACCTTTCATGTGTGATTTACCTGCCCAGCATTCTCCTTTTAATGTGAAGGTTTTTGTGCACCTTCTTTTATGGGATATGAGTGTCTGTCTCTACAATATCACTGTCATTGCAAGGTCATGGCCAGCCATGCCATCTTGAGTAAAACAGGCATTTTTATTTTAGGCTTTGTTTGGTGATTTAAATGATGTTTAATTTTGTGCCAAAACAAAACCTTACAGTTAGGGTAAAATTAGATTCTAGCCCACGACTGCTGTATTGCTTAGGGTGTAGTTACAGACATTTTAATGTCTATACTCTCTTCCCCTCTTTTTTAACAAGTAATAGGATTTCTCATTGCCTTCATGAGCTCTTCTTATTGAAGGGATTTATCCTTGGATTCTAGGGTGACATTTTTATGTACTATGGTCTGCAAAACTTCTATCAAAACCACCGTCGATACGTGATGTCAAGAAGTGACGCGCAGCTGTTGGGCCGAAATGTAAATGTAAGTTTTCTTTTTATGTTGTGAGATCAGTGGCACTTCCAGCAGGTGTGCCTTTGACCATAGGGAGAGCTAACTAGGCAGAGCCATGAGTGTGTTTAGGTGGCTCTTGGGAATAATAAAGTACAGATTTTCAGTGTTTGGTCCCAGCTTTTATGCTTGTTAGGGCCATTATGTCTAATAAGTTAATAAGAGAGGAAGGTTCAGAGGGGGTAAATAAAAGATATCTGTCCAGGGTTGCATTTCTCAAACCTGTACCTTGTAGTGCTGATTAAAAATACATTGCCTTTTTCAAATATAGAGAAAGCTTTTCCTTCTTGTGTTGTCAGTCTTCTTAGCCAGGAGTATTTTAAGCTGTGCTTTTATTATAGGGCAGGGAATTAAGTTATTCTAAGTCTTTAGTTTTGCCATCTGGCTTTGGAAGTGGGCAAGGAGCAGGAAAATGTTTCCTGAAATGAGTGATCATGTAGCATTCTAAGTATGCAATTCAGAGGGCTAAAGAGGGAGTAGGCAGCGTCACCTGCAGCAGACCTGCATAAGGACACTGGAGAACGCAATCGTGGCATTCAAGTTCTTCTACTTACAAATCCAAAGCATATTTTTTTTTGGCTTAAAATAGCATTTCTTAATGTACACATAATCCATATGTCCTTTCAGTCTTTATGATATGTGCCATGGTAATCTGTTGTTTCTATAAAATGCTTCTTACAACTCTCAAGGTGTCCTGTCAGCTTGTTTGTTTGCATCCAAATGTAGTTGCTTTTGGCTTTTGTGTCGATGAGATACACAGTTCATTGGAGCTACTTGAAAATGTTTCTGTGTTGAAACCTGAAGATTTATATTTTCTTATAAAATGGGATAGGAAAGATGTGATAAAGCTAAGGTGAACTTCTGTTTTTCATTCTCTGTCTTCATACATCAAGATTTGCCCTTGTTGAACTGCAGTAATGTGGCCAGCTACACCTGCTGTTTTCTAGCTCTAATGCAGAGCAGGTCAGAAATAAAAAAGAGGAAAAATAAGATGTTCTAGGGTAAGCCAAAGCTTCACTGGAACATTTTCAGTTGTAGCCATTTTACAGTAGAAGATCCCAAACCTGTTTTTGGAGTATGGAGCTTGCAAGTCGGCAGCAGAATTTGGTGAAGACCTTTAGTTTCTGTGCCTAGATATGGAAGGTGTTCCTGAACTACAGACCCCTTCATTTGGATGTCTCTCTAATGTGACCAAAAGGTACTGGAGACTTAATTGTTCAGTGGCTTTTCAGAAGAGGGCATGGGAGGACACCAGCAAATTAAAGCCAAACCCTGGGTCTGTTCCTGACTGTTTTGTGACCTTGAATGCAGATCCAGCGGAGCTACTGCGCGCCCTTCAGCACCTACCGCAACGGGACCCCGATGGCGCCGTGCGGGGCCATCGCCAACAGCATCTTCAATGGTACGTGGGCACCTCCCTCTGCCCCTTACCAATTCCCTCTTGAGACCATTCCCTTACCCAGGCCAGGGGAGAGCTGCTACTCCGAGGTGTGTTCTTTCTCCCTCAAAAGGCTTCGTTTGGTGGTGCTGCTCTGCTGAATGTGGGGCTCTGCTTCACACTGTTCCTACTTGGCCCTTGTTTGGAAGCTGAGGGAGATTTCTCATTTTCTGAGGCCCTCTTCCATGTGAGTGTACAACAGGAGTGAGGAATTTAGGCCCTCTTGAAATAAGTAACAGGGGTACAACAGATTTAATGTACTTCCTTGCTAAAAAGCACATTCTTGTACAGTGATGGGAGAGCCCAGATTCTGCCTTCCCACAATTATGGGTTTAGGAGGGATTTTCCACGGTCTCCACATTAGTTTGGATCTATGTGGTTTCATTTCTGTTCTTAGAATCCTGGAAGCATACATAGTCTTAATTTGATCCTGGATTTGATCTTTGTGGTAATCTAGTGGGCATAATCTCCTTATGAGTACACTTGGGAGATTTCAGAATGTATCTTTGGAAGGAAAAATAACAAAAGACCTGTACAGACTTTTCTCCCTACCCCATCTTTTTTGTTCTCCAA